CTTTTAAGATTATCCTACTCCAGTCGTCAATGATCGTTCACGGAAAGCTGTTTATACGAATATTGCTCACACCACTGTGCTGAAGCTTTTTTGTGATTTCAAGAATTGGGCGTACTCCATGCCAAGGTTGTACGGGAGCGTTGTATTTCTGTGCGATAATGAGACACGTCTTTCTATACCTAATTTTGGGAAGGAAGAGGTAATCTGCTTTTTTAAAGCTTGTTGCGGTTAGGTGCGGCAGGACCTTGCAGAGCTTTGGGAACCTGGTAAGAAGTGCAATCGGAAGAGATTTTAGGTCAAAAAGTTAGTGTCGTGTAACAAGAATATGATTGCTTGGGCACTTGACTTTAATGGAAAGGCAGACAGTCATCTAGTATGTGAACAAAATGAAAATGCTGTTTACAGGACACAGGTTTTCACGAGCGGCAATTCTGTTCGTAAAAGTAAGTCATCTTTTTTGTGAACGGGCCGCAGTTTTTTGTAAATCTTAATAGCACACGCTAGTGTTAGATTTTTTAAAAGATTTAATTAGTATATCTATTTCTTTCAGTTACCGGTGCTTCATTTATTGCGATTGATGGGGCTCTAAAAGGAACTGATGTTCCAGTGAGCGTGAATGTTGTTGAGGTACCTTTTAGATACATTTTAATATCAAGTTCAATTTTTTGTTTTGAATGTAGTGTTTGAGAAAAAAAAAGCTTAAATTTTTTGCTCAGTTGAAATCAACAATACTTCCAGGATGGCATTACAGTGAGGCTGCGCCCTGACACTATGGCCAAGGTTGTTGATGCTCTTTCAGCTGGAACCGATTGTAAGATTGAATCTCCGGTTACAACTTTCTGTGTTGAGTGGAAAGACGTTGAACCAGATGGTTACGTTGGAGAACTAATTTCTACAATTGACAGCATGCCATTAATGGTAAATTTATTTAATTTTTACTTATTTTTATTTTTTTACCTTATTTTAATTTAGCTTTCGGTATGACTTATGTGTATCTTGTCCTCTATCGTAGTTCCATACTTCTAAAAAAATCCTGGTTTTTTTCTGAAGTTTCGACTCATTTGTTTTAGGGGAAATATCAGTATGGTTTAAATGAGGAGCGCATTTTGAGCTCGGTCTATACTATCCCGGGTTTAAGTGATTGGGCTTTACGCTTAGTAGCTGTTTACAACTGTGAAAATGGTCGGTTTCCGACGTGTATTCGCTCAAAAGTTTTCGCTGTTGCTGAACAGATTGCAGCTCAAATAACTTATACGATAACACCCTTTGTAAACTCGTTGATTAAAAAGAATTTGCTGTTAGTTGTTTATGTTTTTTCTTATTTTGTCTGCGCTAAGAGATTTGCAGTTCATTTTTCAAGACATATTTTTCAAATCATTTTTCTTAGACAGCTCTGCATTCGCATTCACGTGACTCCAGAAGAGGCAGAATACATAGCTGCCCCTTGGACTGATATGGAGACCGAATTTAGCGCATGGACTGAACTCTTAGATAATCAGGTTTGTGTTTTTTTCTAACTAATATCTTTTTGATGCTAACATTTGTGCTTTACTTATTTTAAAAGGCATTTCCTTTAACTGAGTGATAGAAGTCTTCATTTTGCGTTTCTGACTGACGAATTCATTGACGTTTGATTACTTTAGCTGGTACCGGGTCTGTTTAATGTATGCTCCTATATATCTGTTGGATTTACAGCCGAAATCTGCTTTGCTTTAATTTCAACTTGCTCACTTCCTTAGAAATGTCTGGAAGATTTCACAGACGAATTTTGGCCAGTAGTTAAAAGTGTATATGGATTGTTTTCTATAAAGTACGGTGTTTTTATAATGTCTACAATTGATTTTTTCCCACATTATTGCCATTTGTTTTTATTTAGTTAAATAATCAATACCTTGCTTTCTTTTACTAGAATTCTTCAGGTATCGTAAAGACCCAATAACATTGATGTTTATTTGTAAATAAGTGTAAAAGTGAAACAAAAAAAAAAAGAAACAGTGATATGTGCATTGTTGGTAACAGTCTTTAAGACCGGGTCTGTATAAAAGCTTCTTTATATTTTAGATGTTTTTTTAAAAAACAGTTTGTTTTGTGTTCTTTCTTTTTGAAAGCTTATATATTTGTAATTAGTGGATAGTATTCTATTTTTGTTTAAATCTTTTTAGTTTGAGTCCGAGTTGTCGCTTTGATTCCATTTTATACATATATACATATTTTTAATGCTACTTTGGTGTACATGGTGCTGGCCATCGGATATCATGCTTTCTTCTTTTGTTTTTTCTCTTTTATTTTTAATTTTTTCCCTTTCCAGAATATTAGTTACGATTCTTGGT